TGCTTCTGTTTACTCTTCTGCCCGTCGTAGGGGCGATTGCATGATGAACTGACCCTAACAAACACTGACTCTTTACTGTCCCATTTTTACATTTAAGAATACTGATATGGCTACTCTTATGAAATAGAGCTATAGAGAGGGGAAAAAAAGAGAACTAAAATACTAGACAACGATAGTATATATATCAGGAGGAGAGTGATCTGCAGGTAAAACGACCACCCTTGTATTGTTTGGGAACAGAATAAAGATAATGATTAAATTTAGACTTGAAGTTAGGTATGCAAGGCAAAATTTCAGGACAAAGTACCAAAAGAATAAAAATTCAGAGTATAATTTACAAACACATAGAAGGGATGTACTTTCGGGGGCGGGGAGAGACTGGCCCTGAGCTGACATCTGTGCCCATCTCCCTCTATTTCGTACGTGGGATGCTGCCGCAGCATGGCCTGATGAGCGGTGTGTAGGTCCGCACCTTGGATCTGAACCTGTGAACCTTGGGCCACTGAAGCGGAGCACGTGAACTTAACCACTATGCCACCAGGCCAGCTCCCACAAATGTACTTTTAAAAAGCTGAATCTTTTCAAAATAGGCAAGGAAAAAATCAAAGATAAAGTAGGACAACTGAAAAGCAAAAAATAAGATGGTAGAAATAATACCAAATATATCAGTAATCGAAATAAATGTAAGTAAAGTAAACTTATTTAAAAGACAGATATTGTCAGATTGGATTTTTCAGGTTGGATTTAAAAAATCCAACTATTTACTTTTTACAAGAGATACAACCAAAAAGCGTTATGAAATGAGATCACAACAGCTGAAAGTACAAGGATGCAAATAATAGCCAGGCTACTACTACCCAGGATAGATAACAGACAGGAAGGACTTGTCTGGGATGAAGAGGGCTACTAAAAATTGATGAAAGTTTCCATTTACTCAGAAGAAAAAACAATTGTATATACCTAATAAAATAACCTTAGCATAGAAAAAGCAAAAATTGATACAATGAGACAGAAATCAACAAATCTACCGTGGTAGTGGAAGATTTCAATGTATCTTTCTTAATAACAGAACCTGCAGATTTTTAAAAAGCAAAAAAAAAAATACAGATTTAAACAACCCAGTTAATAAATGCGATTTAATGGGCACACATATAGAACCTTGACTCAGTAATCAGAGAATACCCATTTTTTTCAAGTACACATAAAACATAAAATTCACCATGAGCTAGCCCAGAAAGCAAGTTTCAACAAATTTTTTTAAAACTGGCATCATACAGACCATATTCTCTGTCCACAATGTAATTGTTCTAAATCATTAACAAAAATACATATATTTGAGTTTATCCTCACATTCAGAAATTTAAAAACATATCTATATACAACTCAGGGCAAAGAAGAAATCATAATTGCAGTTAGAATACACTTAAAACTGATGAATAACAAAAATGTTACATTTTAAAACATGGAATATAGCAATAGTTGTATTTAAAGGGAAATTCTGAACTTAAATGTTTACGTTAGAAAAAAAGAAAGGTTGAAAATTCATGAACAAAGCCTCACACTTAAGAAGATGGGGGAAAACAAATGGACTAGCCCTAAAAAGGAGACTGAAGAAGATAATTAAGACGAGAGAGAGATTAATGAGATAGAAAACAGAGGTACAGTGAGAGAAATGACCAAACCAAAAGTTGGTTCCCTGAGTAAAAAGAAAATGGTTGAATTGCAGTACGTTTGGACATTGGAATAATGTACTGCAGAGGATATGAACGCACACAGTGACGACGACACAGCTGGCATAAGAGTCAGAGATGTGATGAGTGCAAAGAGAAAGTTATAGAAGACTACATACAGGGAATACCGTTTTTATAAAGCTCAAGACCACGCAAAATGAAATTATATATTGATGAGGATACATGAATATTTGGAAAACTTTTTTTTTAAGCAAGGGAATAAGCACAATAGTAACGTTGGGGTGGGACACACACAGGGGACGGCTCTGAGAAGAGCACACAGGGGCTTCAAAATCACGGTACTGTTCTGGTTCACAAATTACATGGTGAATTCATGTGTTTAAAGTTACTATGCATCATAATTTACAAGGATGTTATATATGCGTTTTTGGAATATGCTTTTTTGGCAGGACTCAAATAAGAGGTAATTTTTTAAAACTGTAAGCAAAGCCTGCTCAGTAAAATGTCTCGGACTGACTCTGCATTACTTCTCCGCCTTCCCAGCTGGGAACCTGGAGCAGCTGCCCTTGTTCTCAGAGCCCGTGGCATCATACTAAAAAAGGGTCATACTAAATATATTCTTATGTAAATAATTTTTTACTCAATGATACAGTAGAAACATCTTTCCTAGTCAGTATATAGAGATCTAAGTCATTCCTTTTAATGGCTGCCTAGGATTCTATGGCATCAGCACCGTAATTCAATCCTCTCTTGTTGTCAGATGTTAACATTACCTCCAACTTAGTATTACAAATAATGATGCAATAAACACCCTTAGACTTCCATGGCTTTGCAGACCTGTGCAACATTTCTGAAGGGAGGGCCTGCCTACAAATCATTTCTGGAGCAGAGGACATACACATTTAGCACGTGGATAACAGGTCCTGCCAGAGTGCCCTTTTGTGGCTACATCCATGTCCTGACAACACAGGGACATGCTCATGCCCCACACTTATGAACAGGTTTTTACTTTTTAAAAAAAAAAAATTATTTTTCCAGTACATAGTTGTATATAGTTTTTTAGTTGTGGGTCCTTCTAGTTGTGGCATGTGGGACGCCGCCCCAGCATGGCTTGATGAGCAGTGCCGCGTCCGCGCCCAAGATCCCAACTGGCGAAACCCTGGGCCGCCGGAGCGGAGTGCACAAACTTAACCACTCGGCCACAGGGCTGGCCCCTGAATAGGTTTTTAATATTTATTTTTAGTAATTTGATAGATGGAAACATCTTTTTGGTTTTCATATGCATTTCTCTGATTACTAGGGAGGCTGAACATTTTTCAATATTAGCCAATTTGCTTTTAGATGTTTTTCTTATTGACTTCTTCATATATTAGGAATATTAACCTTTTATCAGTTATATACTGCAATTGTTCTGTCCAAATTAGTTGTCTTAATTTTGGTGTCTCCGGCTGTATATACATTCTTTATAATTTCTATCGTTTTTTTCTTTATGGCTTCTGGGGTTCTGATCACACTGCCCCTGAACTATAAATGAACACATTTACACCCACTTTCCCCCGGAGGCAGCATGTTGCAGCTAGTTGTAGAAGCAGAGGTTCTGGAGCTGGATTTCTTAGGTTCAAATCCCAGTTCTGACACTTATCAGTTGCATGACCCTGAGTACTTAATCTCTCTGTGCCTTGATTTTCTTATCAGTAACACGGGTCTGTGGTGAGCCCTGAGTTAATACACGGAAAGCATTTAGAATTGTGCCTCGCATGCAGCAGATACTCAACACGTGTGCCATTAGTAATTCCTTATACCTGTATTCTTTTACATTTAGATCTTTTGTTTATTTATTTTTTGAGGAAGATTAGCCCTGAGCTAACATCCGTGCCCATCTTCCTCTGCTTTATACGTGGGACGTCTGCCACAGCATGGCTTGCCAAGCGGTGCCGTGTCTGCACCCGGGATCCCAACCCAGGCCGCTGAAGCGGAACACGCGCACTTAACCGCTGCGCCACCCAGTCGACCCCTACATTTAGATCTTTAGTAGACCTTTTTTTGCCTATTTGAGTCTGTTTTCTCCTCAGGTGGATAGCCAGTTTTACGGAAGTCCCTTTGTCCTCTGACGTGAAATCCCACCTTTAGGATCCACTACGGGCGCCGCGCCCAGTCCGCGGTGCCGCAATTCCTGCGCTTGCAGGGAGGCCGTTCATCAGCTCTTTGCAGACTCCTCAGGATGCCGCTAAAGGCAGAAATTTCGAAGTTGAATTCAAGAATGTTCAGGAACTTGGTGCCCTCTCCCACCTGTGCTCCAACCAAACACAAGACCAGGAAGGCCACCCAGTTGCCCTGTTCAAGGGACAAGCCTGCTGAGCGATGTGTTCTTGGAAAAGCACGCCCAATCTAAAAAGGTGTATACAAGATATTTCTCCCAAGTATAATGGCAAGAGGGGGCGCTGAGAACTGTCACACTGAACTGCATCCTGGGAGACACAGGGTCCATGCATTTAAGACGGGGCGGGGGGGGGGGGTATGTAGTTGTGAGGTGGCTGGAGCTGGTGGAGGGGTTTCCAAGTGTAAGGGGCTTATCTGCATTAAGTGACGCTTGTGTAGGGGCAGGCTGAGAACCCCGGAGATTGGAGGGCAGCTTTTCCTTTAAGACTTGGCCGCAAACACGCTGACTGTTTAAGGTGTGCTGCCATCTCCTGGCCAGACTTGTGCCGCAGTCAAGTCACAAGCAGTTAGAGCAACAAGTGACACAGTCACATAAGCATGACATGGTAACCCAACAAAACAAAACAAACACATCCTACAGGAACGTGCCCACACCCCCTGGTGACTGCAGCGTGCTGCTCCGCCGGGAGTGGCCTGCGACGGAGCCTGCCAGGCACTGCTGAGCAAGCAAACCTGGAGAGGGCAGCGAGTTTACATGGAAAATTCAAATATTCCAAATGCAGACAGGCCAGTATGCAGGCTCCATCCCCAAATTCTTTCACGGGGTACTAGAGGAGCTGGGCTTGTGCGTGAGCTCAGAATGCTGCAAGTGTGCGCTGAAATGAAGCTGGAGAAAGGGTGTGAACCCAAGAAAGGCTCTGAAAAACCAACCACGATCACCCCCTTCTGTCCCCTCTTCTCTGCTGTCCCATGTCCCATTCCCTTGCCTGACCCTCTGGTAGTGGTAAAACCAAGAGTGACCTGTGGGGAGTAGCACATTCCATCAGTCTCTACGGCAAACCTAGACTCCAGCCTGCAGAGGTCCTGGGGGAGATGGAGCGGAACGGGGAGTGTCTTGAGGTGCAGCAAAACAGAGCCAAACAGACGGAGCCCGGCACGCTGACACGACCTTTATTATACAGCACGGCTGGTGCCTGTGCACCCCAACGAGTATACAGGATACCAATAAAACCAAACCGCACCATTCAAAACCAAAGACTGAACCCACAGTCGCGTCTCTTAAAAACACACACAATTAGTACAGTCCTGCTGTGACGACGTGATGGAGAGACAGGCAGCTCAGGAAGGGAGAGAGTGTGAGGCCTGAAGTTGGTGCCAAAGTCATTTTCTCTGGTTATTGCACTTTTATTCTACACACCAGTATGTTACACTTTTATTTAATACTGTAATAAACATTAGTCCTTTAAAACAAACAAAAACATTACATTAAGACAAAAGAAAACAAGCTGTCCAGACTCATTTTCATTTCAATCCTCTGAGGAAGGCGGCCCCCATGCCAGGCGTTCTCAGCGGGACTGGGCATTGGCAAGGCAGGTGCAGGTGAACAGGGAACCTCGAGGCAGTGCTGCTTCCTGGAACCCCACGGGAGTGTGCAGTGCAGGCTTCTCACGGTCACTCCCTCCTCAGCCACTTTACCACTGCACTAGCCCTAACCCACGCCACCCCTGCATTTAGAAGGATACACTCTCTTTTTTTCCTTTTAAAGAAAATGTGGGTTATTTAATCCAGCAAATCTAAAAATCAAGCTTTGAAAACTCAAAGGAAAACTACTCTTTTGGTAATGGACTCCTCGAGGGCCGGCTATCCCGCTCTGATGCAGCACAGACTTTCAGCTCCCCTGATAGCCAGGTAGATCCCAAGCACACTTTCTCTCCAGAGCAGGGCCTGGGGAGTCTCTGTGCCCCAAGTCCTACTGTAATCACTAATCCCCTTGGCTTCTCAGTGCTAAATGATACGCCAAAAAATAAAGTGTCATCAGTGCAGTTATCACTTGGCAGCCCTGCCACCCCAAACCACTTCTCCTGTCAGGAAAACACTTTCCCAACCCCACTTTGGCAGCTCAAGCAAGGATGCAAAAAAATGCATTGCAGAGCCGACAGGTGCCAGCTGAGAGTTCGGCGTTCCCCCATTTCTACCCGTGGTAGTGATGTACCCTTTCCCTCACGGTTCCCTTGAATTTTAGTGTTGAATGTAGAAGCTGCTGCCTAGGCTCTGCCCCCTTGAACTGGATGGACAAGTGACTCTGGTCTGGGAAGAGCCAGTCCTCCTTCCTGGAGAAGTGAAAGGCTTGCTCTGTCAGGGAGAGACTCTGCAGAGGGCCAGGGGAACCAGGGCACGCGTGTGGAAACTCACCAATGAGCATTCCCCAACCCACGCCGGGCTGAGCCTGCCGCCCGCTCCCTAGGCACGGCCGGCCGCTCCGGAGCCCCAGGCGCCACCATTTCTTCTGATTGCTCTGCAGGAAGCTCCCTCACTCAGTTCTGAACCAACATAAGTGACCAGACTTCAAGCGTGTTAAAAATGTCCAGGTGATGGTTTTCAGGCTGGGGTAAATCGCTCTAATTAAGCTGATGGGAACGGAACACAGTGAGGGCAACTCTTTCACCCCCCCTTCCCCCCACAGCCACGATCTCACCTCACCACCTGGGAGCACATACAACCAAATTCAGGACCCTGGCCTTGCTGAGCCCTCTACAGCTTAGGTGCCGCATTTCTTTGAATACCTAGTGTCTTCCCAAGTAATATACAGTACATTTCACGGCATTCCATCACTTTAATAATAATGGGTGCCAAGGGACAAAGAATCCGAAATTAGCTAACAATGTTAAAAACGAAAGCACAGCATACACGTGTTATACACACGTACTCCCGCACTCAGCCCGCTGAGCATTTAAACAGCGCCTCCAAGCAACTGCGCGTGGGCTTGGCGGCCTGGAGGTCAGGAAGATTTTGCACCTTTTCTCAGGATACATTTTTTTTTAATGAACTGTAACACAACTACGCATTTCCTACTTAGCATCAGCCCCTCCCAAACTCCCTCCCCACTCAGGCAAAAAAATGTAGGGAATCTGCTAGAAACTTGTGTCTGAGAGCAGACTAAGCCAGAGGGGACAAACTGACAAGGGACTCTGAGTGGACAGAAACCTAACCTCCCATGTGCGAAGGGGGGTATGAACTAAGACGTCCAAAGAATGTTAGGAACGTGGTCTCCATGTGGGAGCACCGACTCCTGATTACAGCTAGAGTTAAAAAAAGTCTGGAAAAGGGAACCATATAAGAGCTTTCTTGGGGCTGGCCCAGAGGCCGAGTGGTTAAGTTCGCATGCTCCACTTTGGCAGCCTGGGGTTTCACCAGTTTGGATCCCGGGCGCAGCCCTGGCACCGCTCATTCAGCCAAGCTTAGGAGGCATCCCACATGCCACAACCAGAGGGACCTACAACTCAAATATTCGACTGTGCACTGGGGGGCTTTGGGGAGAAGGGAAAAAAGAGGGAGATTGCCAACAGATGTTAGCTCAAGTGCCAATCTTAAAAACAACAAAAAAAGATCTTCCTTGAAATTTCACACAGAACAGACTACTCATCTCTCTTTTTTTTTAACTTGAAACCTGGCTTCCTGGAAGCCCCATCATGGTCCCCAGACAAACGACAAGTTAATGCTGACAAAAACAGAGTGACTTGAAGTCAAACTAAATAAGCGTTAAAAATTCTAAGAGATACACTGAACATTTCCCCACACAAGGCTGAAGCCTACAGGAGCCAACGACACAGGGTCAGCCACTTGACCATCTGCCAGGAAGAAGAAATTTAGCACTCTATGGAGTTTCTGAAAGGGACAAGTGCTCAGGAGCTACTGCGCTCAAACATTTCCCCATCAGAGCCCAGGACAGTCAAAGAGTTAAAAGTGAAATTTAAAGTGAACTTTAAAACTTGTATAAAATTTTCTCATGGACTCCATTCATACTCTGTTAATATTCAGGAGATGGTCCTTCTGTCACAAACAACCCTAGAAAACTCCAGCAACAAGTCTGCCCCTTATCTCATCCGCTTACTCAGGACCCGCTTCGCACAGCTGGGGCTGGGCCACAGTGCCTGGGGAGCAGGGGCACGGACCGCGCATGCTCACTTCCACTGTCTATACCTTCACGACCTGTTTCTCTGAACCTAACAGACGCCTTTGGGTGAGAGAGGCTTGAAGTCAAGATCTGGGATGCGCCAGTGTTCCCCTTCCTTTGACGGGAATCAGAGTTTCTCTTCTGTACACTTCATGACAAATTCTCCAAAAGACCACCACCCCACCTTCCAACGGCAAGGGAGAAGAAGCTTCCCAGACACTAACACACAGGGGTGAGGAGCACAGCCAGAACTAGGAAAATGCCCTTCTCTTTCATCAGGTTCTTTCCTTCTCTTCTAACAGATCATATTTAAAATAAGGTAAAAAGAAGGGACAAGTTACAGAAGAAACCTTGGTTAAAAAGCTCCATCATCAAGTTTAAAAACATCAGTGTGTTAGATTCAAACACAAAAAGAAGAGACTCTCATTATTTTAAGTTTTAAAAACAATCTGGCGCCCTTTGAGTACATGTACACCTCCCACTTCTCAGGTCTCACCAGACACCTCATTGGGTCAGTTCTTCTCACTCACCCCTAAGGACCATGTTAACTGGAGCTTCCCCATCTTGAGACCAAAAAGAGAGAGAGAGAGAGAAAAAAAACAAGACCCAAGGGTAGAAAAAGAGACTCTGTTCTGGGGTTATCAGTACCTCAAAATCCAACAACATATATATACACACATCCATACATACACACCACACACACACTTTTTCTTTTTCTTTTTTGGCCTCCTGGTAACGTAACCGTGAAACCCTCCCCCCGAAATCAGGGATTGTGGCCCTATAAAGGTAAATGCCAGCCATCATAAGGAGCAGACTTCATTTCTAGCTCCCCTGCAGGGGCCTCTGGACGCCGCGCCCGACACCTCTGGCTGCGGATAGCAGGAACCAGCATCCACAAGTTAGTTTTTTGTTCCTATGTTCTCACAATCCCAGAACGAAGGTCAAATTTTTTAAGGGTCCTGATGACTGGATAGAACCAAACTATTCCTAGCTAGAGCCAAAATTATGAAAAATTATAGCTTTTAATACTATTGCCACTGCAGTGTCCCACTTGTCTCAGTAACATACAGTGAACAGACAATGGTAACATTTGCCTCCTTTTCAGTTCTGAGGCCAGAACATTGCATTCTTCAGCTTTTACAGATGCCCTAGACAATCTTTTGCTAAGGAGATAGCTTGGGGCATCAGTGAACTGCTGACTAGGCTCCGCCAGCCAACTCTCCACTATCCAGGAGTCATCTCTGCCTGAGGAAGTCTCCAGCGGCCCAGCAAGCATCAATGCCCTCCGGTGCTCTCTGTAATGAATAAACGTCAAATTCTTCCCATGGCCAAAAGGTGAAGGGAAGGAAAGGAATAGGGAGTGAAAGAGAAAAGTCTTTGCTTTCAAGTAGAATCATCTAGTCCACTGTTTCGCCGCTCAGAACTTGACTTGCATAGCCGATCCATGATGCCCTGGAGCATGGGCTGGACAATGCCCAAGAGAGGTCTCTGAGAAGGGTCACCATCCCAACAGGCTTCCATCAACTGCCAGCACTCCTCATCAAACACAGGAAGGCGTTCTGGACGGGCCCCTAGAGAAAGGAGCATGGGAACAAGACCAGAGGCAGTGAGTGTGATGGGAACCAACTCAACGAGGAGGCAGGATCAGCTCAAAGGCTGATTACCCAGTCGGGGCTCAGATGCCAAAGACTGCAACAAGCTTTGGCTTCAACTGCAGACATCTAGGTTAGAACCTAACAGTAACAGTGATTAAAAAAAAAAAACAAAACAAAATGGAACACACTGGCATAGGAAGTTGAAGAATTCAAAATTTTAAAAGAAACAAGCCTTTCCGAGATAGTGCAGTACAATGCTGCCTGGAAGCAAAGGTTTGACCTAAATGTCTTTTCCGGATTCCATGACGCTTTAAAGGTGCGTGTGATCCTGCTGTGGAGTGGCTGGAGAGGGTGACAAGAGGCCCCTGCTGCAGTGCCGGGTCTCAGCCGGCTCTCGCCACGGGAGTTAGGAGCAAGAAGGGCTGTGGCTCTTACCTCTCCGCACATTGTTCCAGAGATGGTCTTTGCTGGCGCATCTCTCAAATGCCTCAGGGAGCTTGACAGAGCCTGAGCAGATATACCAGAAAAGAATGCCAAAGGCGTAGACGTCCACCGAATTATCGTACTTCCCTGCAGCAAGAAGGGGGACAGGCAGTGAGCCGGGGAGAGAAACGGCAGCATTGCCACCAACTTGCATCTGCAGAGACCTTCACACATTGTTTTCTAAAGCTTTTAACACTCCTTCTCTCTCATAGAAACCCTGCTAGGCAGCACACATTTATAATGCCCATATTATAATACAAAAAACTATGGACTGAGAGCTCAAAGCTGGATGTTAAGAGGGCCAAGACTAGAACCTAACAAAGGAGGACGAGAGGAAGGCTTTTACTTTAATGGGACAGTCTAAAAGATTAATCCTAAAACACCATATTAGGGAAATAAAGTTGGAAGTACAGGTGGGTGGGTAGGTTGGAAACCAAATATAAAGATTTTTCAAGTCAGACAGAGAGTTGGATTCAGAGGGCAGCAGGAAGTCATTTATGTTTTAGAGCAGGAGGTGACTTGAAGAAAATATTTTAGAAAGATTATTCTGACAGCAATAGGATGGACTGCAGTAGAAGCAATTAGGGGAATTTAAATACAAAGTAGCCAAAATTAAATAATAGCAGTGGGAATAAAAATTGAAAAAAAAAACGTAAATCTAGAAAAAGAAAAATGGCGACTGTGTACTTCATTGCGATGTGAGTAGGACTATGGCTGCCCAGCTAACTCCTAATCCGTGGGTCTCACTCAGCGAAGCCCTGGGGGAAGACCTAGGCTAACGAGAGAAATCCAAATATATTGTTAATTTTAACTCTCACCAACACTAACAAGTGATTGCGATTACCTTTCCATCTTCCCCTGCAACGATACCATCATTCCTCATCCACTCAGGATCAAACCGCAGTTGCTGCTTAGTCATTCTTTGCTTATCATCATCCATATCAAGTTAATAACAAAATCTTGCCCATTCCTCCTCTGAATTATCTCAAATCCGTCACGTTTTCCATTTCAGCAGGACTACCAACCTGACCCTGGAGACAACCACCACCGGTCTCCCCACCTAGGTTCTCGCCACTCACAGCCCCCTGCCTGCTGCTGAGCGGGGCTTCCCGGGCGCTCGCTCCCCCGCAGCTGCTCACAGCTCAGTGCAGTTCCTCACTTCTTCCCGATCAAGCCGTCACTCCGCTGCGTGAATGTCAAGCTCAATGTATTTTACCTCCAAACTTGTTTGCTATTATTGCCCAAACAGATTTCTTTCCTGTCGTGCTTATTTCTATCCTGCAATTTTCCTCATATTTCCCCTTCCCCAGCCTTCAGAATTTTCTCCCCTTCCTGATTCATGGTTGGACCCTAGAGACAGAAAGATCTAGATTCCAATCCCAGCCCCATCTCTTCTAGCTCAATGTTTTGGGGTGGGTTTCTTCATCAATCTGGCCTTGACTTTATCCATGACATGGACAGAAAAATGCATCAACATCACCACGGAACTGTTGTGAGGATTAAATGGAATAAAATATATGAAAAACACACTCACATGGCCTAACTCAAAGAATAGACTGAATAAATGAGTTCCCTTCCCACCTACCAATTTTCCAGATCTGACTCAAGTTTTACCCAAAATGTCACTTCTACCACAAACTATCAAACATTTCAACCTTCATTTCCCCTTCTCTGAACACCAGCATTACGTTATGCAGCACTCAATCACTGCTATCTTACACTGCTTCCTAATTATTTTACCTCTCAATATGTCTCTGCCAACTACTAAGTTCTGTAATGACAGGAGTTATTTAGCCAATACTTTGTGATTAATAATTGGTTGATCATGGCAATTATGGCACTAATAGCCTGGAGAGACATCCAAAAGAATAGCCGGTGACTGCCGCCTGCACTTCTCCTTCTCGCCCCTTCACTTCTGCACTTTCTCCTCTACTTGTCTCAGTTTCTCCTGTGCTGGTTTCTCCCCTGCCTGTGCCAGATCTGCCAGGAGGACCTGTGACCCGTCTCAGCCAAGGGGCAGTACTCGGGGTTAAAGTACGGAGCCTGCCCAAACCCCTCCCTGCCCTCCAGCTTACCTGTGAAAAGTTCAGGGGCCATATGGATTGGTGTCCCCACAATGCTGCCTGACATCATGGCCTCCGGCTTGCAGAATCCTAAGTCAGTGATCTTGGCACGGTTCTGCTTATCCAACTGCCAACAAAGCAGGGCAAGAGTCACCCTGTGCCTGACCCTGCACGTTGCACTCAGTTGCACACCCAAGCTCAAAAGTCTGTGTCTCCTCCAGAGCAGCACTTCACTCCTGCCTCAGCCTCCCTGTCTCCAGACTCACTCCCGCGGCTGCCTTCTCCCTGGACGGTAAGCAGCCTGACCTGATGGCAAGGACTGTCTTTCCATCTCTGTATCCCCAGCACTTACAGAGGGCCTGGCACACATCAGGAGCTTAGAAAATCCTGCAAGAACGAGTAAGTGAAGGGCACTGGAGAAAGTATTTCAGTTCCTAATATTCTCCTCTGACCTCCAGACCCCAGGGCAGAAAGCTGCTAAGTAAGAAGGTTGAGGTCCTCTGGTCAGCTGAAGAGAGTTTCTTGACAACCCTGTAGCTTCCTTTCCTAAAGGCCCAAGAGAATAAATCTATTTCTCATTTGGTTATTGATAAGCCTCTTAGGTTTCAGCCCAGAATTTTAGGAAGATCTTTCCCTTCCTGCAAACTCCTGTCCTCTTTATACATCATTTAAATGTAGCCAGAGACACCTCAATGATAATGCAATATATTTTCAAGAGGAGTATGTCAAAAGATTATTTATAATTTAGATAACAGGAGGGTTCTGGTGGGTTCATCTCTCTCGCCTTTTAAGGTACATTTACCCATCTCAGCCCTCATGCACCATCTCTGATCAAACCCTAAGAAATAGCAAGACCTGGAATCCTCAAAAGTATCAATGTCACAAAAGCAAAAAAAGGGAGAAGGACTATTCTAGATTAAAAGAAGCTAAAGAAACATGACAACAAAATGCCCTGTATGGATCCTGGATCAAACAAATAGACCATATTTGGGATAACCAGACATACTTGGGACAATTGGAAAGTATTAATATAGACAGTATATTAACTAATACTATCATATTGATGTTAAATTTCTTGGGTATGATAATGGCATTTTAATTACGTAGAAGAATGTCCTTTTTCTTGGGAGATACAAGATGAAGTATTTAGGAATGAACTTATCTGCAACTTATTCTCATATAGTTCAGTACAAAAGCGTGGGTGCATTAGGTAAAGAGAGAGAAAGAGACTACGTTAGGGAAAGAGAGACGATGAACCTGGGTGAATGGCATATAGCTCCTCACCGTACCACAGTGTTAACTTTCTGTAAGTTTACATTTTTTCACGGGTATTGAGAGAAAAAACCTTAAGCAGTATTAGCTGGGTGTACGATGCAACTCCTCCTTAAGCTTTAAGTCCCAGATACTGTCCAACTTCTCTGCTGTTAACTGTGCTTCTTTCCCTCCTGTCTTCTCCTGTGACCAAACAGATCTACGCGTACCCTCCAAAGGTCACTTAACCCACAGAGGCAGGGTGCTGTCTGGGGAAACGGCTCTTACCAGCACATTTTTCAGTTTGATATCACGGTGGACAAGTCCCTGGCTGTGCAGGAAGCGGACTCCTTCCACCACGTCGAGTGCAATCTGCAAACGCGTTTCCAGGGTCAGCCCAGCCTTGGGGAGACAAAAGAGCTGGCTTGTCACTAACAAGAGGACTCCTCAATCCAACATGCTTAACCCAACTCAGAATTCCTTCTGTGAGGCACTGAAAGGCTGACTGCACCAGGAGAAAGGCGGATGAGAAAAAGGGGAGCGGAACAGTCGGAGAGGGAAGTTGAGGACCAGCAGCGGGGGCGAGTTATGAAGGCCAGATGAGATCTCTCGGAGGCTGCACTCAGGCCAGGCAGATAATCCCCAAGTGTGACGAGAAGTGCAACCCAATGACTGAAGGCATGAGCTCATTTCTACCCCTGAACAAACTCTAGAATGCCCTGGAGTGCAAAGTCAGCATTTCTACGTCCCTCAGGCAGATTTATTTCCATTGCTTTATAGGTCTAGTTAGCCCAGGATGGGTTCTATGGATGGATTCAAATACCAAAGTCACTCATCTTACTTCTACCAAACCTCCAATTTAGGATCTCTTGAATTCTGAAGAACATTACATCACTCATCCAAAATGGTTCTCCAGTCCACTTGTGGAAAAGCATCACGCTTTTCTGAAATGAAGAGGGAAAGCCACTTGGAGAGTCATTTTCTTCATCATATTGCTTTGTCATGGCTCTTGCCAGCATTTCTAAAGATTCCTCTATTCTACTTCTGGAAGCTTCCACATAAACTGGTACAAGAGGAATCTGTGAGAAAGGACCTACCCAGATACTCTGGGGTTAGCTTTTCCTCCCTTCTACTTAGCTCCAATGCAGGGAACAGACAAAGACACCTCTCTATTTCCCTTTTGGTGGTTGTTTTAGATGATGGAAATTCAACATCTAACTGAAGGTTTTTCACCTTCACTCAAATAAAATCTTTCAATAGCTCCACGTTGTCTATAACAGAATTTAAATTCTATGGACATTATTAACATTTTTAGTCGTTTATAATTTGTTCCCAACATTTCTCTGCACATTATCTCCCATCCATTCCCAAAATGAATCAGCTGCTCCAATATGACTAGCGTCTTTATTGGCCTTCCCATGCTCTGGGCATTATGCTATTCCTTTCCCCTGGTATGGCCTCTTCTTTCCAACTGCCCAAATTTTACCCATCAAGGTGTACTTATCAAATTCAAACGTCACATCTTCATGAAATAGTCACTGATGACAATTCTCTTAAAAACTCCTGGCAATTACACTTTTTGATATCCCATTATGGTGCTTAATCCAGGGCCTTGCACAATGTACTCACTAATAAATATCTGTTGACTAAACAACAAAAACTGGCTTTATCCATTGAGAGCCAAAAACAGAAATAACAGCAGAGTTATAAGAAACTTTTCTGCTCTTCTGAGAAGTCTAGATTTTTGTCACCCCGCAGGAGGTTGAAGTGGTGAACTGCAGTACTCAGGATATGAACTGGGCCAAAAAATAGATTCTGAGAAATTTTTAAGGTTTTTTGGAAATAAGAGTAATAAAGCTTAATTACTCCAAAAGTGCCTCGTGAAAGCTAGAAACTCTGCATAAAAAAGAAAGGATGAAAGGCTGGAAAGGACCCTGTGGACCTGGCTGCCAGCTGAATCTCGCTGTGTCCTTGCCTCACCTCACCTTTAGCCCAGTGTAGAGGTCACGGTGCAGCCGCTCCATAATGAGCAGCACGGCAATGCTGGAGCCCCCACCATAGCTGTAGTCGATGACTGAGCCATGGAGATCCACCAGTCGCTCATGCTTCGGCAGAGACCTGGCGGGAAGGAGAGAGGTCTGGGCTCTAGTCCTGCACAGCACGCCACCATGTGGGAAGGAAAACCTTGAGACCACGCTTAGTCCAGGCCCAGAGGTAATGGCTCTCAGCACAGAGAGAGGGCAAAGAGAACGGCCTCCCTAACAAGGTCAAAGAATTATGGCATCTAAAAATTGACAGGCCTTACGGACTAAGGAAGGATGAGTCTGAGAAATTAAGATGATGGGGAAATGGCAAACAAAGACAGTAAAGGTGCTGAAGAGAGCACATTTCTGGGCCAGACACAGAAATACTGGTCTACAATGTTTTAAGACATAGGAATGGAAAAACAAGGCACGCTGTAGCCCTTGATGTAAAATTTATACCAGGCTTCTGGCTTCTTCTCTGGATCTTTCCCCACAGAAATGAATGAGCCCAGGGCCTACCTCATGTAGTGAAACTCCAAAGCCAGGTCATTCCAGTGCTTCTCATCCGGAGGGACAACAGACTTGAGGGCACAAGGGAAGTGTCCCCCCCAGCTGTCACATAAGTACACCACACCATACTGGCCCCGGCCCAGTTCCTGTCCCAGTTTAGGTTTTCCTGTAAGGCACAGAGACAGAGACAAGGAAGGAGGGACAGGAACTTGCAGGGCAACCTCCCTACGATTCTTCGACGCGGACCTGCCTAGCAGCAGGAGGCTGCAATTGTGCTGGGGAAGAAGTCCTGATGTTATTCTAAACCAGTAGAAAGTAACCTAACTGGTTTGATTTAAATAAACTTTGGTCATGTTATTTGAACTATATAAATTCATGGCAGGACCAAATAGTACTCAGGAATTCAAAACACATCAGTAGGTACTTAAGCAGCTTTGCAAGGAAGCAGCTTTAGACATTGAGATTCTCCAAGGTTAGACATGAGAATGTCAAGTATCCAGAACCTTCCTCCAATTTACTTAGGAAAAGACAAGGACTCACGATGCAGCAAGACATCCTGTAAAGAACGGCTTTCCAGAGACAGGCGGGCCAGGCGCGGGGCATGATCTTTCCGAACCTTCAGCCATAGATCTTCAGTTTTCTCCAACCGGCCTGAGTGGCCAGCTTCCAGCTGGGAGGGAAACAGAAAGAAGACATACGACTTAGCAAGTCCTCCCCACCTACCCCTATATATAGGGGTAATAATATCTACCTCATAAGATAACGGTGAGAGTGAAAGACGACGTGAGCAACACAGCTCAGACACTGGCACACAGCGGGCCCTCAGTAAGTAACAGCTTTTCCTCCTGGATGCACAATCACATCGACCCACCCTCCCCTCTACACACATGCATGCACCCCCAAAGGGACAAGCAGATGTCACATAATTGCAAAATAGTGTAGCAGTTGGAAAGTCATCTGTCACTCATTCCTAAAATACTATATAAACTTATATAAAATTCCTACTCCTTGATTTTCATTCCTCACTCAGTGAAAGGGGAAGAAATTAACTGAGTCCCTCCATCCTCCCTAGAGTTAGAAAAATATCCACATGAAAAATTTACTGATGAAATTTTCTGTAACATATTATCCTTTAACAGAAAAGAAAGAAAATATACGGATGGCTTTTTAAAAATTACATGGAAAGCAGTGGGCAAAATATTCCCCACTGGACGAAGTCCTTCTCTGCTTGATCCAGCTGTATGTCCTTTCCTACAGACCCACCTGCCGCAAGGAGGCTGCAAAAGCCTCGTGAGAGCTATTGAGCCGAGTCCGGAATTGGCTGCAAATGCTCTTGGCCAACTTGGAGGCACTGAGGCTCTCAATGGCTTCCTGGGCCGCCTTCCTCTTCCACTCTAGTGTAATGACAGGCGGGCTCACCCACGTGATGCGCTGGATGACCTGTCAGGACGAGGACAGTGAGACACTGAGGGACGGGAGACAGGAGCCACCAGCAAGAACCGGTGCCCTGCCCTCTCTGGGTTACCCACTCATGCGGAGCAGGCTCTTAAGATAGGAGCCATATGAAGTCCAAGACTCCTCTCCAATGCCGTCTACCTCAAAATCAGGGCTCAGTCCAAAGGAAAGCATCAAAGGACACTAGGAATAGTCTACGTGTTCACAAACCCTCAAGATATTAAGTTCAGTCCCAGGCAGTGCCTGATACATCCCTTTCTGAAGTCAGCAAATAACTCTACCTAAAAGCCAGATCAAATTCCAGAAAAGAAATCACACTCATGGCCTCTGGCAATGAAGCCTGGTTCTGAGAAAATATTTTAGGTTGGAAAAAGAAATAAGAAGTTAGTGAAGGAGAATCTTATGGCTCCATAAAATATCATTTAAATGCGCCACTTTTCAGAGTTAGAGGGGGCACCGTTAATAACTATTTCAGAATAGGCATAAGCCAGAATTCTCCCAGGCAGGCAAACAGGACAAGCGGCCACCCTACACCACCAGAAGACCCTAGGTAGCAGTTTTTCTGTTGGGGAGACTGAGGTTCATTTGAGCCAACTAGGGGCTGAAAAGTTTTCCTCTAAGCAACCTCTACCTGTTTGATTTGCTCCCACAGCATCCTTGTAACCGAGGACCCTGAGTGAAACGTGACTTCAACATGATAGGCGGCATTTAAGATCTAAAAGAGAGCACACAAGGAAAACCAATATGCCCTGAGTGGAGGGCTTATTAAACACACAATAAATGATATTTAGTTCAAGAACAGAGTCCAGCTCCAAGGTTCCCAAATTTATTCCTCAGCATATGTGCAGTCACCCCAGCCGATCGTACGTTCTGTGGCTATTTGGGTCCTCTACTTCATCTTCATCTTCTTGCTTATCGACTTAAACTGCACTTTTACAGTTCACAAGCACCTCCTACAGGCAGTGGTCAAGTGACAGGAAAACAAAATAAAATTCAAACTGGACTGGCAACAAGTTAAAGGGAAATTCTTAGCTAACTTGAAGTTGGGCTTGTGTGTACAGCGTTTCATGTGTTATCTGTGACATGGTGTCTTAACCCATCCTTTGAGTACCTGTTTGAGATAATTACTGGTGATGTGAACTGAGACATCCTGAGACTTCTCCAGGCTCTGCAGACACCGTTCCAGGGTTCCGACGAAGCTCTCACGTAGGTAATCCACTGAGCTAATCAGCTTGTTGGCCACAGCCTGATTAAGCCGGGAGATGATGAGCTCCTGGATCTGTCGGATGCAGCACTTGATCTCTCTGGTGCCCACTGGTTCTCCATTCTCAGGGACAATGACGTCTATGGAGGCAGAGAGAGAAGCTAGCTGGCTGCAAGGGGAAGGGGCAGGCACACTGAATAAAGGCATCTCCCAGGTCAGAGCCAAGAGCTACCCTGACGACAGCTACAAAACACATGGTTGGCTGACAAACTCTGTCCCTCAGCATGATCAGGGGCCACGTACAGTCACACATCACTTAATGATGGGAATACATTCTAAGAAATGCATCATTAGGTGATATCGTCATCCTGTGAACATCACAGAGCGTACTTACACAAACCTAGACGGTATAGTCAATTACATACCTAGGCTATATGGTACTAAACTTATGGGACCACCATCATATACGTGGTCTGCCATTGACCAAAATGTCATTATGCAGCACATGACTATAATCCTCAACTACTTAAGGCATCTAAGAATCCTAAGAAACAACAACTATGTCTAGAACGAGCCTACTGATTTTGTCAGCTATTCTGTCACATTTATAGGATGGGAGGAACAATATTTATTGAGTGCAGACTATTTGAAAGGCACTATAATAAGTATTTTACATATGTAATCCAATTTAGTTCTCATAATAACTTTCTCAGGTGGGTATTATTGGTTATATTTTATAGGTCAGGAAACAGCCTCAAAGAAAGGACAAAGTGGGTATTGGGAAGGAGATGGTTAGGCAGGAAGTAGAGCTAGCATTTGAACCCAAAGCTCATGGATTCCAAAGCCTCTGACCTTTGTAATATTTCACACTGCCTAGCATATTGACGAGAAAAGTTCAAGAGTCAGGAGTTCCATTCTAGTCAATTACTAGATAAATAAAAAGTAAAATTGTAAGACTGTCTCCACTATGCTACTACCTCTCAGGATTAGAAAATCTGTTTTGCAAGCCAGAGGACAGAAGAACTTAAGAGAAGAAAAATTACCTGCAAAAACTCCACTCCTAAAAAGGCACTCTCATGTCTACTGGTGGAAATTTACCTTTTTGGGGGAAATTTGGCAATATCAAAATTTTAAACCAACCAACAAACAAAAAAAATCTACATACTCTTTGATGTAACTATTCTGCTTCTAGCAGTTATTTTTCTAGAAATAGACCGTTACAAGTCCAAAGATATAGTTGTTCAATGATGATCAACGCAATACAGTTTGTACTGGCAAAAAGAAATAGCCTAAATGTCCATCAGCAGAACAGTTAAATAAATTAAGGTACATCCATTAGAAGACAACAATTTTGCATGCACATTTATGGAAAGATCTCTAAGGTACGAGTTAAGTAAAAAAGCAAGGGACAGAAGAACACATGGAAGAACCAGACGACTAGGGGACAGCATCTTTATGCCTGAGTCCAGCAGTGTGTATGTAGGGATTATCTTTTCAAAAAATAAATATTTTATACAGTACGTATGTCATGATACCCAACATGCATGCATTCCCTTTATTTTAAAACAAAGAAAAACCAGTAATAGAAATCTGGCCCCACAGGTTAAGTGGTAGCCCTCTTCTAAATCTACTTATCACTGACTTAGCATAGACGTGGTAGCCTCAAGGATACCAGAAAAGACTGAGAACAAGATAAACAGCAGATACGTAAGTCCTGTCTAATATACAGGCAACCAGATAAGTAGATCCACAAATCCACTATGTAGTTAACAGAGCCAGACATCTACCTGTTCCCAACTCCCACATCTGTACCCCACTCACCACTGTATCCCAGGCACCAAACATGGTATACCTGGCACATTAATAGTCACCCACAATATTTCATTGTCTGCCCAACCTACCTACCCTGACCCCACTCTATCATGTGCACCATGATGCCGGCACTGATGCTCCAGTGCCTTTTAAATTCAATATTCAGAAGACTTCCTAGGATTTCCATAGCAAGTGAGCATTTCTCAGCAACTCTTCCCTACAGTGGGAATTCACCAAAGAGGAATCTTTGCTTATCTTCGGAAAGACCCATAAATCAGGCATCCTGTGCTTGCTAAAGTCAACTATGTTTCCTCTGTATCTATAAGTGTGACATAGCCATACACCATCATTCACACGCTCATTCGTTCTCCAAAAACGTACTGTACACAGACTCTTACATTTTCTGCAAGGGATATGATGATGAATAAGACCCAGATCCTGTTCTTCAACTCTAGGATTTTAGAAAATAGTCAGAAGAACATACATAATTATAACAAAAGATAGAAAGTGAAATATGCCAGAAATTTCAGTTCCAGATGAAATGCTGTGGGAGTTCAGATGAATGCAATCATTATTAGCTAAGAAAATTAAAGACAACTTCATGAAAAATGTTATTTGGAAGAGGCCTTGAAGGGTAGGTAAGATTTGTAAAATACACAAATAAAAGACATTTCAGGTTTAGGGCAGGGCATGAGCAAAGAAAAAGTAAAGGAAGCATACAGAAGACAGCAAACAGTTGAGACCAATTGAAATAGAAATTAGAAGAAGGCGCGCAGTGGGAAATAAGACTGGGCAAGTTGGCACGGCTAAGCTTTGGACAGTCTTTAATATGGGGCTAAGGAGTCTCAACTTGGTCTACAGAAACACGGAGCCAATAAACGTGAACTGGGGAAAGGACAGAGATGCCAGGGAGATCAATTAGGTAACAAGAGTGCAGTTGGACCAAAGGAGGGAAGAGAAGAACAAAGGTTTAGACAGGAAACACGGAAGAAGACTCATCAGGACTGGGCCACTGACAGGATGCGGAGATAAGAGGAAGAAGACAGTGAGAGGCCATGCCAAGGTTTGGAAGCTGGTCACCAGGAAGGTGGTGGCATCAGCAGCTGGGAACAGATTAAGAAACAGTAAAGCATAGAAACCCAAGAGTACAGGCTCAGGAATCAAGCTGTCTAGATGCAAAGTCTGCCTCTATCATTTAGTAGCTGTGTCACCTTGAGCAAATGACTCAACCTGTCTTAGTTCCCTCATCCAGAAAATGGTAATAAGCAGAATATATTTACCAAGGTGGTTTTTGAAAACAACAACAACAAACCTGCTGCCAGGTCCCAGGTCAGAAATTCTGACTAATATGTCTAGAGTGGTCTGTAGGGGTCTCGGGCATCCATATTTTCAGGAAGCCTCCCAGGTGATTTGGATGGAAAGCCATGACTGAGAACCTCAAGGGGAAACCATGTCACTTTATTAGCTCGTAGAGCTACTGTTCACAGGGAGGTTCATACAGCAGTCAGGATACAAAGACAGCAGCATCTAAACCTCAGACACTAAAAACCTGACTAATCACCTGGCCCAATTTTGTTAATAGCCATTCGTGAAGAATGGGACCACCAGAAAAGCTAAAAACACTATTGTTGAGAAATCCTCCTGAGTTGGGTTTTAGGAGCAACCTGAAAAGAAAAAAGTCCAGGACACACACAAAAAGAACCAATAAAGAAGCATGGGCCACGCTGAAGAAGCCAAGGTCACAGCATGACTTAGTCACATTCTTTAAGCAGCTCTTCTCTAGCTCCATCAAGGTCAGGGGACACAGACAGAAACTGGAGATTAAAGAGCGCTATCGGGACGAATTTACCAAAAGTCGGACTAACACTCCTGAGAAGGAATGACAGTGGAATCTTCCAGGAAGTTCTTTAAGAACAAGAGAGGCCACTTTGGCTAAATGATTTAAGGTGGGAAGCTGCTAATGACAGTGGAGTAGATGAGATTATCCTGAGGTTCCTTTGGCCTTCAAAATTAGTGTACTCGATTACCAGCCAGCAAAGGGGTGGAGGATCCCACAGCCCCGGTGCCCCACCCAGCTCTCTGGGACCCACCTTTAAACTCCATGTTGGCAGCGTCATCCAGAAGCTCCTCCTTCATGGAATTGAGCGTCTCAACAATCATGTCCTTCATCTCCTCCTGCTTTCGGTTGGCAATGTTCATCAATGACTCATACAGCTCATTCTCCTTTTTCCGAGTGTACTCCAGACGTTTGGGAGTGATCTGCAGGTCCCGCTGCATGTCAAAGGCCTGGTTGATAAAGAGGTCGAGGCAGCGGCAGTGCACCAAGTTCAGGGCCTTGGCTGCGTCCACCAGGCGAGTCTGCAGCACCTGGTGAGAGAACGTGCTCAAGTGCCTCAGCTTCTCACTTTGCTCCACCAACATGCTCTGCGCTTTAGCGTCCTGGCCGGGGGCCCCGCAGTTACAGTGACTGCTGCTCAGATAGCCCAGGTCAATCAGCTGGCGATGAAGTGGCGATCTTTCATTCTCCATTCTTCTGGTGGAGGAGTCAATTATCTCCGAGCCCAGCTTTGGCATTTTGAAAAAGAATATAGGAAAGGAGAAATACTTTTGGATTTCCTGAAGCTCTTGCTCATCCCTCTCAGAGAGTTCATCTTTGTGGAGTGCATAGGTTATCACAGGCAAGAAATCATTCACCAAGTCACCCAGAACGTCCACTGTGGCCCGGAGGCCTTGGCACGGTGCTACCACAATGTCCACTTCCTGGAAGGGGAAGGGGGTCAGATCAGCACTTCAGGGTCAGAACCAATCCTTGCCTCCCCAAAGTCCCACACTGAGACCAAAATCGAGATCTATGATGGGGCAAGTGGACTTCGGTACGCCCCAAGCATTTTTTTTTTTTTTTTTGAGGAAGATTAGCCCTGAGCTAACATCTGCTGCCAATCCTCCTCTTTTTGCTGAGGAAGACTGACCCTGAGCTAACATCCGTGCCCATCTTCCTCTACTTTATATGTGGGATGCCTGCCACAGCATGGCTTGCCGAGCAGGGCCATGTCTGCACCCGGGATCCGAACTGGCGAACCCTGGGCCGCCAAAGCAGAACGTGCGAACTTAACCGCTGCGCCCGGGGACCGGCCCCTGCCCCAACCATTTGTTCACCTCCTTCCTCGGTTGTGAACACTCCCTGGTGCAGCCTATATGCAGGCAGGCACTCATCTGGAGAGTGTGAAAAAAACACCTAAGTAGAAAGGATGGCAGTCACTTTAGCTACGTCAGATAAAAAGAATATTTAGTTCCTCCTTTCCTTCGTTGCTCAGAAACTCCCATTGATTCCATCTGATGAAGAAATAAAACAAACAACAGAAGGAGAACGAACCATTATGGAAATTATCAGGCTGGGAGTGAGTCTGCCTGAAAGCTTCCTCCCCTCTTACACCTGCACCCCCACCTTTCTAACCTGACGAACTCAAACATCCTTTAAATCTTGATGTGTATGTTGTGTTATACCCTTAAGGAGTCTTTCCTATTACACAATCCCAAACACTCTCTACTTCTCCTTTTCTTAACGTTCAATACATTTATAATTTACTTATCTAAAACCCGTTTTTTCCCATTAGCCTGTAATCTCTTTGAGGGCAGGGACTGTGACTGCCCTGTTCCCTCCTGTATCTCCAGTGCCTCGCACACAGTAAATCCACATTATTACAGTCCTACTCTAACAGTGTGCAAGTATTCCAAAGCCTCAGCCACCTAAGTCTTGGTAATGCCTTTATTACCAAGAAGGTTAGCCTATGCAATATTTGGCCTCTGCACTGCTGGGAAGGCAACGTCCTTCACAGACAGGGGCAGCTAATACGAAAGGGGGGCTTTCAGGAGAGCTCTTTGGAGGAGGTTTCACTCTGGCACTAAGTCTGCCCTTTGGCCTTGCCCTTCTTGCCAGGAGCACAGAGGTGACAGCCAGAGCAGCAGTCGTCATCTTGCAGCCCCAAGGCAAACCTGAGGGTGGAAACCAGCTCTAAGGATGATGAAGCAAAAAGAAATACGGAGCTTGGGTCCCTGATGACCACAGAGCTGCCACATCAGCCCTCAACTGCCTAGCTTCAGTCTAGTTTCATGTGAGGGGAAAAAAATTAGCAAGCCCCTGTTTTTCTGATTGTCTGTTACATATGACTGAACCCAATCATAACTGATATACCCAAGTTCCTAAAGTAAGTTTCAAGAATGTTCTGTGGTTGGGAAACAAACCTTTTACCGTCGTTTTCCTAGCAGTAGTTCCTGCTTTGTGCCCTCCTTTCCCGAGGGCCGCGGAGCACTTAAGAGCACACTTCCACCCCTGCACAGGCTGCTCCTCTCCGCCTCTGAACCTGGCTTCTGTTCCTGGCGCGCCAGCCCCAAGGGCTGAGCTGGAGGCTCACACCGACTCCCAGTGTCTTCAGGGGTCTGCAAACTCAAAGTCAACCCCCCAAGATGCTAGTACATTTTACTGAGATATAAAAGAATGCAGCACAAACCTGCTCGTTTGTGTCCTTAACAGCTATCAGATGTTGCAAATTTACTTTATTTGAAATCTAAAAGCTATACAACTTGTTTATTTTCTTTCAGACTAATACTGTTTCATTCCTCACCTTATTTGAGCAACAGGTATTTTTGATGAAAGACGTTAAAAATCAAAACCTGACACGTTTTCTTTTTTTCTCTCCTTCTCTAGATAAGTAAGAAACGACTGGGAAATGCCAGCCTATTGTTTCTTGTCCCGCGTGCGCGTGTGTGAGAGAGCACTCCCATTCCCAGCAAAACACCAAGGTCTCCCCTTCTTCCCCAACAAAGAACTAACAAGTTTCGTTCTCAGGTGGGTCACATAACTTTCATTTGGCTGGCCCCTTTGAACTCCCTAAAGCTAAAAGTGCTTTCAGCATCTCACCATTTGTAATCAGAGCAAACACCGTGTAAATCCACCGCCTTTCCATCGAGCACAGGCCAAGAAGAAATCTGCTGTTTCATGGGTGCCTCGAACTGCAGAGGATGTTTTCTGGTTGGAAGACTAGTCTGCCACTCATCGTGCTGTGCAAAACAAACCCCTTTCACTACCCTGAGTCACGCTGCTGGAGGATGAATCACTCACGAGGCATATTCGAAAAGTGGGTAAGAACTTTAAAGGTTTAGGGTGGAACATATGATTGCCTAAATGTCAACACTGTAACTACATATAAGATAAAGACTAGAAGAGAACCTCAAGAAATAAAAAGTTATAAGATAGAGAATTACAGGTGGAAATGTTTTTAAAAATTTTTATTTTAAAATTGCAACCCTGGGGCCACCCCCGTGGCTGAGTGGTTAAGTTTGCACGCTCCCCTTTGGTGGCCCGGCGTTTCATGAGTTCGAATCCTGGGCGCGGACATGGCACTGCTCACCAGGCCATGCTGAGGCGGCGTCCCACATGCCACTACTAGAAGGACCCACAACTAAAAATATACAACTATGTACCAGGGGCTTTTGGGAGAGAAAAAAAAAGGAAAAAATAAATAAATAAAATTGCAACCCTGTCTTAAACATATACATTTTTAAAGATATAAATCAAACTTATTATAGGAATATCATGGGAAGAAAGCCTAAATATTCAAAACCAGCTAAAGTATTCTTTAGAAAATTTTCAGGAAGAATTCTGCTTGCTTGTTTATTTGATGGATTTTCTTAAAATTCTAAAATAAATTTCCAGGTTTTCCTCAAAGGACCATTTTGTGTGTGCAACAGAACCATCAGCCAAAACTGCCAAGTCTATTTGCAGAACCAGTATCCTTTCTAAGAGACAGCTGACTTTATTTGCTCATAGGTGCAAATTCAATTTTAAAAAAATGGATTTGGGGCTTTCTAACGGTAGGTATTGCCTGGTATACTGGCATCTAGAAAGAAGCTGTCCACTCCTAAATACATCTTGAACTAAACAAAAACAGCCAGAAAACAAGTACCATGCCCTCTCTTCTCCACTCCCCAGTTATTCACTTGTGCAGCTGGTCTCACCGTTCTGACCATCAGGACTGTCAGAAGAGAGGCAACAGGAGCTGCTGGCTGACACGGGCAGCAGAGCAAATTAGAAGGGAATGTGACATGCGCTTCTGCAATACTTAGAGTGAAGGGATGACTCACACCTGACAGAAACAAAAAGGGAAGCCAGCACTGTCTCCTGGAGACAGGGAGCCAAAAAACTAATAATCAATACAGAGAGGATGAGCCAGACCTGTTCTGGGCCCTATTACGGCCACCTGAGAGGGAAGTCTGACCTCAGACTCCACTTCATGGAAGGCTGAATTCCTTCCTAGTACCTAAAACAGGTGCCTGGCACTTGGTGAGCATCCAATAAACAAATATGGGATGAATGGATGAATAAATGATGCCTTTCCTACTTGCTCAAAACCACTTTCAACATTCATATGTAATATTTTCTATCTTTCAAGCCACATCCCACACATTTTATCGCACACATTTATCTGGAACTGCTGTTTGCCTCTGCTCCGAGAATGAAGTGGTGAGTAAGCATTTTGCTCCTAACTCAATGAAGGAAAAATAATTGCAGGGGTGGGGTGGGGGAGGATGCCAGCCCGGTGGTGTAGCGGTTGAGTTCGCATGCTCTGCTTTGGAAGCACGGGGTTGTAGGCTTGATCCTGGGCGCAGACTTGCACACCACTCATCAAGCCATGCTGTAGAGGCATCCCACACAAAAAATAGAGGAAGACTGGCACAGATGTTAGCTCAGGGTCAATCTTCCTCAAGAAAAAAAAAAGGAATCCCAGGGAATCATGAGAGTATCCCACAATTTCCATTTTGAGTCACAGAGAATTCCTAAGGAGATTTCTCTCATGGAATGTATTCTGCACAAATCTGTGGAATCTACAGAAGTTGATTCGTTACTATTAATTCTCTTGGCAAGATTAAGAGAATTCAACAGAAAAGAGATTGCTACTCTGCAAACAACCAGAATTCACTTCTTTGGTTTTGTTTTGATGTAAAATAACACTTTCTTAAATGCCAAGAGGAAATCACTTAATCCCTGAAGAAGCCTGACCACTTCCTAAGAATACTGGCTCTTATTGGTGAGGACTCCTTATTCCATGGTCACGGCACATGACCGAAATTCAGTTACAGCTAAGGATGATTCTATCAAGTGATGGTTCAAACAGAAGACAGCCGTGTGCTCAGGCGGGTCACAGATGTCTTTGCTTTCTCCACAGGTCTTAGGCCTCAGGTTTACCTCACACAGAAAAGAAGTGGGCAAAGTCCTGCCCTTGCTCAGCAACTGACACACACAGCCTCGACCTCAACCCCTGTACCCATATTCTCCCCATCTTCCCTGTCAATTCTGCCCCCATGCCACCTTGACAGAGCAGCTGAGAGGTTCTTCCCGTTGCTTTTTACACAGGGTTGATTCCTCTTCATTTTTATCTAGGTCCCTGACCACACTATCAGGCTTGAATGTTAATTACATATTAAGGAAAATACGTCTCTACTCTTGTCACATTGTAGAAAATACCTTGACTCTTGTTGGTACAAACACTCTCCAAGGGGGGCTGCAAGTGAACAGGTTTCTAGGCTGTCACAAGGCTCATAAGCAACTGGGACTAAGGCGGAGCCAACCCAAGCTTCATCCCAGCAGTCAACAGAATGCAGACAAGCTCATCTCTCCACCTAGCACAAGCATCGGAGTGGGAACTCAGGGGCCAGACACAAGACTGGGGGAAAACACAATCCCAACCAAAGCCCTAAACTAG